GAATCCACAAGGATAACCCCCAGCTAAGAGCCCTAGTACTAGTGGAGAAGGGGCCTGAAATGGTCTTCCCTTGCAATCAGATTAGTGAATACCCTGTCTTCATAGAGCCTCATCCAGTAACTGACGGAAGCAGATGCAGAGATCCACATCCACGCACCAGGCTGAGGTGTGGGAGTCCAGCTGAAGAGAGGAAAGAGGGATTATAGGAGCAAGGGGGCTCAAGATCATGACAGGGAAACCCACAGAGACACAGAGATGACCTGAACTTGTGAGAGCACATGGACATCAGACTCCACTACAACCTAAGAGCAATTTTCATTCCTCAAGAGACATGATGCAGTGTTTGCACTGAGCTGTTCCCTAATTGCATTCCTTTTTGTATTAGTCTGACTATAGGGGCTCTTCCCCTCAGAATCTCCCAAAAGGGAAGATCCTGATATCTTACTTTTTCCTTTATACAGTACCATTCTGATTTCTCTATACCTACTACCAGAACTCTGGCCCTTAATGGCCTCAGGCTCTGGATCTGGATTGTATGCTTTTCATCCTTGGAGTCAGGTGTGCCAAGTTAGTAAATCTCTAACTTTTCTGTTCTTGGTCTAATCAGGGGGTCAAAATGGGGTCCATGCAGAGTCATCACACTATATGGTCCCTCGGTTGCAGGGATTTTTTTCCAAAGAATTATTTTGTTTAAAGAGGCTGCCATTTTATACATTTTCATCCTTCAAAGCCCACACAAAATTTCCCACACAAAAAAAGGAAAAGGCAAAAGGAAATTCCCATAACACATAGTGAGAATTATTAAAAATTGAAATAAAAAGGTGCTGGAGAATTGTGATCACAATGTCAAAATGCTGGAACTTTGTCAAGCAGCAGTGATTCTCATGTGGTCCATGCCAAAAATTTAACCAAATAAAAACAATTAATAGGCCAGCCATGGCTACATAGTGATACACTCATACATCCACAATAATATGTAAATGATATAAAAATACACTGGATTTTGACTGAATAATTGTCTTGCCTCCTTTCAGAAACCTAAATTTCCATAATTGCTGATTCCAACATTGGAACTTCTCTTTGTTAAAACAAAAACAAACAAAAAAATCATCTATTCAGTGATGTGACCATAAAATATAATAAGATTTATTTTAAAATAAATTAATTTTTAATTATCTTTTTTCTGTTAAAAAAAATTGTAAGATCCTAATCACAAATTGGAGTTGGAATCTGTAATGTCTCCCATCAATGCTACAGCAAAATTTTCCAAAACTTAGTAAGTTACAAAGCACCGTGCAAAACAAAGAAGAGCCCCGGGAAATCTCAGAGCACAAGAAATGTGTAAAGTAGAATGCATGCGTGCAGTTATCATGGAGGTGAAGACCTGAACAGAGTTTCATTTACCTCAGCACACTGTCCATTTCCCAACTCAAATGTGTCATGCAATAAAAGATGCTGTTGATTATGTAGTTAGTTACATTTCTTCTCTTGACCTGTGCTTTCCATATTTTTGCAATAAGTGTCTTTAATAGTCAGAAAAAATGCTTCAAAAATATGAAATATGACTGAGAAAGTATTTGTAAAAGGTCTTATAGCATCCTAATTTATTAATATTTGGAGCAATACTGGTATACATATTAGTTCACATAAATTATGCAAATATTGACATTTTAATAACAGTCAACTGTATATGGAAAATGAAACTTATAATTAGCCTCAGTAGAATCAGGGGATTGTCATTAATCCTACTTAATAAATACTCTGTTCTAATGTCCTGCTTAGAATTTTGAAATGCCACTGGCTATCATTATAAACATGTTATTTACCGAAATGGCCATATTTCACCTTCCCTGCCCATTGCTTTTCTGTGTTCTTAATTTAAGTTCTAAGAAAAAATTTGTTTAAATAGCAAAGAAGTACAATCAAATAATGAGCTTATAGTCTTGTTTCTCAGCAGACATAAGACAGAAATAATCAAAGGAAGTTGATTATTATCTGATAAGAATAAACACAAATCTGTCTCATTATTTTTTTAAGATCGGGTGTTAATATACACTGTGAAGTAGAATTTACCTTGTCTTAGTCACTGTTATATTGCTGTGAAAAGATACCATGACCAAGAAATCATAATTATAAAAGAATGATTTAATTGGAAGCTTGTCTACATTTTCAGAGGCTTAGTCCATTATCATCACAGTGGGGAGCGTGGCCCGGGAGCCATAGCTGAGAACCACATCCTGATCTTCAGGCAGAGAGACACTGGATCTGGTATAGGATTTTAAACTCATAAGCCCACCCCAAGAGACACACTTCCTCCAACAAATCCACACCTCCTAATCCTTTTCAAATAGTGCCACTCCACGATCTAAGCATTCAGATATATGAGCTTATGGGGGTCATTCTTATTCAAACTACCACAGATCTGCTTTATGTGAATGAAAAGATGAGATATAATTCACAGGTACACACATGCACACAAGCATGCACACACATATTCACATGGAAGGAAGCTTTAAAAGCAAATAATTCTATCCTTAGACAGTACTATAAATTGATTACTTTATTGAATAAAATGGCTATATTGAAAATTATTGTGGATACTTGTGCCTAGGAGCACATTTTGTCTTTGTTTTCAAACATTTCTCTAAGTACATTTTAAGAGTTAAAAAAAACAAATCAGTGTTTTTAAATTGGCAGTTTATGATATTACATAACACAGATGGTCCCAACATACTTACAATAACTGTTTTGGACTTGTTGTTTCACTTTGCCATGGTAACAACACAATAAACATTCAGTAGGAATCTGACTCAAAATTTAGGATTGTAATCTTTGCTCATCTACATACAATACTCTCTTATGACAGTAGGGGGCAGAAGTGAGCAACAACTCCCAATAAGAACTTACTCAAAGGTAAAAAGCCAACCAATGCTGGACCACAGCAGCATTCAGTGGCGTACAAAGGCATTTTTGTGGTATTTTCACCTTGATGATGAGTATTTTGGCATGTGTTCCCATTGGACATCAAGTGGCACTTATACATTGTTTTTCCTTACTTGGTGATGCTGAGAATGAAGGCAGAGCCTTGGATGAGCTAGCCTCTCCTTCACTGAGCACACGTCCAGCCTGTACTTGCAGTCACCTCTGGATTTACAGTGGTACAAATGCATCCTATTGTCTCCACGCCATTTCTTGAGATTAATCTGAAAATTTTATTAGAGAAAGGACTATGTTAAATGAAGCTATTTTACTCTTGAATTGTCTTTAATCTAATAGGGAGAATGCTTTGAGTAGATAATCTGAGATGACACAATAATATGCAAATTTTCCAATGAATCTTTAACTTAATTAACAAATAAAAATGCTCCCTTCAGTGGCAACCTTAAAAAGTAATTTTGCAAGGTCAAAATAAAATTAACCATCTTCTTTTCCTTCCCTTTTTTTTTTTTTTTTTTTTTTGAGACAGGGTCTCTCTATGTATTCCTGACTGTCCTAAAATTCACTATGTAGACCAGGCTGGTCTCAACCTCACAGAGATCCTCCTGCCTCAGCTTCCAGAGTTCTGGGATTAAAGGTGTGTGCCACCATGCCTGGCTATTGATGATTTTCTTTCATTCAGTGAATTGCAACAATTTCCAGAGATGCTGTTGTATAAAATCATAAAGTCTATAATGAGAAATATTTGTGTTAGCCATAACCTTTTTCACATAGTTATTGTGAAAGGAATAAATGTTATAAAAGAAACTTTAGAGCGTAGCATTTAAAAACTTAACTTTGAGGGCTGGAGGGATGACAGACACACTGGTTAAAAGCACTGACTGCTTTTCCTAGAGGACTCAAGTTCGATTTCCAGTACCCACAAGATGGCTCACAGTTGTCTGTAACTCCAGTCCCAGGGGATTCAATGCTCCCTTCTGTTGTTGGTTTTTTATTTTACTCTTTGCTCTTTGGGGGCTTGCCACCCAGCTCCCAAATAAATACACAGAAACTTATTCTTATTTATGAATGCCCAGCCTTAGCTTGGCTTGTTGCTAGCCAGCTTTTCTTAAGTTATCCTGTCTAGCTTTTGCTTCTGGGCTTTTATCTTTCCTTTTCCTTCTTTTTCTCCCCTTTCATATTCTTCTCTTTCTATTTATTCTCTCTGCCTGCCAGCCCCAACTATTTCTCCGTCCTGCCTAGCTATTGGATGTGCAGCTCTTTATTAGATCAATCAGGTGTTTTAGACACACAAAGTAACACAGCTTCACAGAGTTAAACAAATGCAATATAAAAGAATGCAACATTTCTTTGCATCATTGAACAAATGTTCCATAGCATAAATAGATGTACTACATCTTCAACTAATATTCCACAACATCCTTCTTGCCTACAAGAGCATCAGGCATGCACATGTTGCACAGACATACTTGCAGAGAAAAAAATGTATATACTCACTCATGTATATAAGTATATACATAAAATAATTTTTAAAATATTTATCTTAACTTTGGGGGATGATGAGATAACGCTTCAGATCACAGGACTCGCCACAAGCCTGACAACCTGACCTTGTTCTCCAGAACCCACATGGTAGAAAAAGAGAACCTGCTTCCAAAAGTTATCTTGGACCTCTACAACATTAGCACTGTGGCACTTCTTATGCCCATGCCTATGCAAAATAAATAAACAAATGTAATTTTCTTTATTTTTCAATTAAGTTTTGAAGCAAGAAAGTTGATCATTGCTGCCTCCTACTTAAAGATGTTTATGTTTGTGTAACATAAGCTGATAACATCTACATATTAATTACTTTCTCTTTGCTGCGACAAAATCCCTGACAAACATAACTCCCTGAAGGAAGGGCTTATTTGACACATGCTTTGAGGGCATAGAGACCACTATGGCAGGAAGGCATGGCAACAGGGGCATGAGCCAGCTAGCCACATTGCGTCATCAATCAGAAGCCGAAGACACAAATGTTGGTGTGTAACTCACTTTCTCCTTTGTTCCTTTTTATTCAGTACAGGCCGAGCCTGTGGGATGATGCTGTTCACACCAAGGGTGAGTCTACCTTCTTTAATTAAACCTCTCTGGAAATGTCCTCACAGACAAACCCAAAGGTATGTCACCAAGGAGATTCCAGCTGACAATGAAGATTCATCATCGTACTACTACCTAGGATTTTGATAAAGATCAGTTAAGCTAATGTACAAGAAAATTAAATTGCTTGGCATCAAGTCACTGTTGGAAAAATTTTACCCAGATTTGTATTAGCATAATTGTTATGTTTGTCAGTAAGTATAATTACCATTGCACTTGACAAATAAAGTGTTATGTCTGCCTCCAATAAATTAATACATGATAAAATTGATTTATAACATTAAATTTGGCTTAGTGTAAGGTTTGATAATGTCAGGATCAAATGTGATATTTTTACTAACTTACATTTGTTTTCTTATTTACTGTGTGTATATGCTATCTGTGAGGATGAACATACCACATCATGCAATGTGGCAGTCAGAGGACAACTTTGTAGAGTTGGTTCTCTCCTTTCATCTCTGTGAGTTCCAGGAGTTGAACTCTGACAAGATATAGAACTCTCAGCTCCTTCTCCAGCACCATGTCTGCCTACACTCTGCCATGTTTCCTGCCATGTCAATAATGAACTAAACCTCTAAACTGTAAGCCAGCTCCAATGAAATGTTTTCCTTTATAAGAATTGCTGTGATCATGTGTCTCTTCACAGCAATAGAAGCAATACAATAGAAGCTTGTACAAGTGTCTTCACCTGTTGAGCTATCTCACAGGCCAAACTCTGCTATTTTTAAATTTTCACTAAACCATGCAGATGTAAGGTGTCCTCGTTAGGGTTTCTATTGCTGTGAAGAGACGCATGATCACAGCAATTCTTATAAAGGAAAACATTTCACTGGGGCTGGCTTACAGTTTAGAGGTTTAGTTCATTATTGACATGGTGGGAAACATGGCAGAGTGTAGGCAGACATGGTGCTGGAGAAGGAGCTGAGAGTTCTATATCTGGATAGGCAGGCAGCAGGAAGAGAACTGGCTTGAGCTTCTGAGACCTCAAAGCCCACCCCCATAGTCACACACTTCCTCCAACAAGACCATATCTACTCTAACAAAGCCATATCTCCAATAATGCCACTCCCTGTGGACCTATGGGAACCATTTTTATTCAAACCACCACATAATGTAGACTTCTATCTGATATTACTAATAGCTATAGATCTTTATTTCACTGAAAAAAATCACACTTTATAGGGCTGAAGAGATGACTCAGTTATTAAGAATACTTGTTGCTCTTGCAGAGAACTCAAGTTCAGCTCACAGTCCTCACACAATGACTCATAACCATCTGTGACTCTAGTTCCAGGGAATCCAACACCCTCTTCTAACCTCCATGGGCACCAGGCACACATATGGTACATCTACATGCATGCACACAAAATGCTATGCACATAATAAATAATAAGACTTTGAAAATTAGGGGAAAATTCACATAAAAAACCATAAAACATTAAAGTTTATCCAATCATTTCAGAGGAATGAGAAAGAGTAAGTCTAGGTGACCTTCCATTTTTTTAAATTTTTTTATACTTATTTATTTTTATGTTATATGTATTGGTGTTTTACCTGTGTATGTCTGTGTGTACCATGACATGCCTAGTATCTATAGAAGCCAGTAAAGAGCATTGGATCCCCTGGAACTGAAGTTACAGATAGCTGTTATCTGCCGTGCAAAGGCTCTTTTTTTTTCTATATTTCTGATATATTTATTTATTTGTTTATTTGTTTGTTTTACATCCTAATGGCAGCCTTCCCTCCCTCTTCTCCTCCCATCCTTCCTCTCCTCCCCTCTGTTCCCCACTCCAGTCCACCACCACCCCTTCATATTCACTCAGACAGGGGCAGGTCTCCCATGGGCATCAGCAAAGCGTGGCCTATTAAGCTCCCATAAGACTAAGCACCTTCCCCTGTATTCTGTCTGGGCAAGTCAATCCAGCATGAGGAATAGGTTCCCAAGAGCCAGCCAAAGCACCAGGGACAGCCCCTGCTCTGATTGCCAGGAGTCCCACATATAGACCAAGCTACACAACTGTCATATATATATATATATATATATATATATATATATATATATATATGCAGAAGGCCTAAGTCAGTCCTATGAAGGCTCCTGGTTGTTGATTCAGACTCTCTGAGTTTCCACGAGCCAGGCAAGCCATTTCTGTGAGTTTTCCTATGATGTCTCTGACCTCCCTGGCTCCTACAATCTCTCTTCCCTCTCCTCAGCAAGACTCCCTGAGGTCCATCCAATGTTTGGCCTTGGGTCTCTGAATCTGCCTCATAAGTCACGGGATGAAGGCATGAAGGCTCTCTGTTGACAATCAGGGTAGTCACCAATCACAGGGGATGGCCAGTTCAGGCTATGCATCCACTGCTGCCAGGAGTCTTAGCTACGGCTGTCCTTTTAGACTCCTGGGAGTTTCCCTTACACCAGGCTTCTTCCCAACTCTGTAAAGCCCCCCTTTCCATTCATCTCTTTCAGAATCCTCCCCCTCCACCTACCTTCCTACCTGATCCCTCAAGTTTCCATGCCTACCCACCCACAGTCCACCAAGAACTTTCCTCTATTTCCGCTTCCCATGGAGATTTCATGCATCCCCCCACTTAGGCCCTCCTTGTTACCTACCCTCTCTGGGTCTGTGGATTGTACCATGGCTATCCTTTACTTTACAGCTAAAATCCACTTATGAGTGAGTACATGCTGTGTTTGTCTTTCTGGATCTGGTTTGCCTTACACAAGATGGTTTTTTTCTAGTTCCATACATTTTCCTGCAAATTTCATTGTGTCTTTTTTTTCTAGCAGCTAAGTAATATTACTTTGTATAAATGTACCACATTTTCTTTATCTATTCTTTGATTGAGAGACATCTAGTTTGTTTCCAGGTTCTGGCTATTATGAATAAAGCTGCTATGAACATAGTTGAGCAAGTGTCCTTGTGATATGATTGAGCATCCTTTGGGTATATGCCCAAGAGTGGTTTAGGTGGGTTTTGTGGTAGATTGATTCCCAGTTTTCTGAGAAACTGCCAAACTTACTTCCAAAGTGGCTTTACAAGTTTTCACTCCCACCAGCAAAAGAGGAGTGTTCCCCTTGCTCCACATCCTCTTCAGCATAAGCTGAAGTGTTTTTGACCTTAGCCATTCTCACAGGTGTAAGATGGAATCTCAGAGTCATTTTGCATTTCCCTGATGGCTAAGGATGTTGAACATTTCTTTAAGTGTTTCTCTTTTATTTGAGATTCCTCTGTTGAGAATTCCGTTTAAGTCTGTACCCCATTTTTTAATTAGATTATTGAGGTTTTTTTAATGGCTTGTTTCTTGAGTTCTTTATATATTTTATAGATTAGCCCTATGGTGGATGTAGGGCTGGTGAAGATCTTCTCCCATTCTGTGAGCTGCCATTTTGTCCTATTGAGAGTATCCTTTACCTTACAAAAGTCTTTCAGTTTCATAAGATCCCATTTATTAATTGCCTATCTTAGTATCTGTGCTACTGGTGTTTTATTCAAGAAACAGTCTCCTAGGCCACTATGTTCAAGGCTACTTCCAACTTTCTTTTCTATCAGGATCAATGCATCTGGGTTTGTGTTAAGGTCTTTGTTCCACTTAGACTTGAGTTTTGTGCAGGGTGATAGATATGAATCTATTTGCATTCTTCTACATTCCAACATCCAGTAATGCTAGCACCATTTGTTGAAAAGGTTTTTTCTCCAATGTATAATTTTGGCTTCTTTGTCAAAAATCAAGTGTCCACAGGTGTGTGAAGTTATTGTTGTTTGAATCTTAAATGGTCTTATAATAAAAAACCCAGAGCTACATATTGGGGTGAAAGCTGAAAGATCAGAGGAGCTGAGCAAGGCACAGCCAACCTCACCTCGCCAACTCCTCAGCTGATCCTGTTTCCTCAGACTGAAAGAGTCTGAGTCCTCACCAGAAAGGGTCTCAGCTGAACTGCTTTAGTTCCTGTTTCCTCATGCCTTATATACCTTTCTAAATCCGGCTGTCACTTCCTGGGATGAAAGAGTATACTTTCCAGTACTGGGATTAAAGGTGTGTACTACCACTGTCTGGCTGTTTCCAGTGTGGCCTTGAACTCACAGAGATCTAGAGGAATCTTTGCCTCCTGAGTGATAGGATTAAGGGTGTGTGCCACCAATATCTGGCCTCTATGTCTAATCTAGTGGCTGGCTCTGTCCTCTGATTCTGGGGCAAACTCTATTAGGGTACACAATGTATCACCACAAGTTATGTCTGAGTCTCCAATTTGATTCCCTTGGTCAATGTGTCTGTTTTTATTACTATAGCTCTGTAGTAGAGCTTGAGACAAGGAATGGTGGTAACCTCCAGTAGTTCTTGTACTGTTGAGGATTATTTTGGCTATCCTGGGTTTTTTATTTTTCCATATGAAGTTGAGCATTGTTATTTCAAGGCCTGTAAAGAATTGTATTGGAATTTTGAGTCTGTAGATTGCTTTTGGTAGGAAGACTGTTTTTACTATGTTAATCCTACCAATCCATGAACATGGGAGATCTTTCCATCTTCTGATATCTTCTTCAATTTCTTTCTTCAGAATCTTGAAGTTCTTATCATACAGGTCTTTCACTTGCTTGGTTAGTGAAAGATAACTATATTGATATTTTATATATTGTTTTTGATATTTTATATTGTTTGTGGCTATTATGAAGGGTGTTGTTTTCCTGATTTCTTTCCCAGACTTTTTATCATTTGTATATAAAAGGGCTACTGATTTTTTTCAGTTGATCTTGTATCCAGCTACTTCACTAAACTGTAGGAGTTTCCTGGTAGAATTTTTGGGGTCACTTAGGTATACTATCATGTTATCTGCAAATAGCAATACTTTGATTTCTCCTTTCCCGACTTGTATCCCTGTGGTGATATTTTGCTTGTGCTCTAACAAATAAAGCTTGCCTGGAGATCAGAGTGCAGAGCTATCCACTAGTTAACCATAGAGG